ATGTTAATACTAGAAAAATGCTATCAATTTCATTTGCACCTTGTAACTTGTTGAGCAAGGTGTGTATCATTATGTGAATATATGTTTTTACATTATATGTCATTTCGTCTTAGTGTAATAACATACACCAGAAAACAAATGGATTTTACCTTCACAAGTATGGTAATTAGTTTAAGGTTATAAACAAAGTTTACATCCATTTCATACAAACATTTGAAAACTACGGAAGAATAGTTTATATTGCTTTACATTACAAACGATTATAATAAACTATAATAGGTATAGTTTATGTTTCATTACATTTCAAACTCCTTACCAAAGGTTTTCAGTTCACATAAATCTGTTAATGAATAAATTTGTGAGACATTCGCTTCGTGTTACATCCATGTAACAAAATCAAAAGTCCTGTAAATTGTAACCAGATCTCTTGTAGGGAGAACGTGATAGTTGTGTATAGATCTATATTGGGTCTGACAAACCCACACCTGAGCTGCATGCAACAGCTAGACCGGCAGGTCTGTGGTGACAAGTGTCATTAACTTGCGACGCCTGAAGAACGTCGTATTACGAGGCCGTCTGAGTCATAGTATGGTTATAATAACTCACATGTGGTATTAACAAAACATAAGATTTACGGATTTTACTTCTAAATTTAACGAGTTTACGTCGATTTAAACTTGCATAAAATTACTTTAAGTATGGTAAAATACTTGTACACTTCAGCCTTGATTTTTAAGACTACAATGCATTACATAAGAAAATATGGGATCTTTCTTGAACAAACATCATTCTTACAAGAAAAGGATTTTAGCATCGCTTTCAAAAGCTTATGAACTCACCAACTTAATTGTTGACACTCTTTCAAAACTACTTGCATTCTCAGGAAATCAATAAACAGGTAACCAAGTGCTTTTGAGGATGGGACGTAAAGCGTCAAACATTTCATTTTTGTCAACATAATGTAATTGATTTGGAAACATGTAAACGCATACAATGATGTAACTCTTTCAATTATATTTATGTTGGTTGTGTTTACTTTGATCACTATTGCAATTTGTTGTTATGATACTATACATGAAGTCCTCCACCCCCGGACGTTTCCGCCATCCTTGGTTTGGGGGTGTGACAAAATTCCATCTAACGGGGGGATGACGTGACAACCCAAAAATTTTTGTCTTGAAATTCTAGTCACTCAATCGAGAGTCAGACTCGTTTCTGCTATCTTTTAGCAGTGTTAAGGATCGTTTTATGAGTTCTAGGCCTAGTACACTTAAGGATTGGTGTAGGGATATGTTTTCTCTCATTCATCGATTGTATTCAAGCCATACACTCCTTCAAGAGAGTGAAGGCCGTACAAAGGGGTGTACGTCCGTACACTAATGTGCCTTACACCACCTCCCATATATAAGCCATCCCCGCATGTTCATTCATTTCTTTTCTTCAACTTCCAAGTCAGAATCGAGTTCTCTCTCAACTATCATCGAGCTTTTCACCTAGATCTCAAAGAAACGTAAGTATTCCTTCCATTGTTAGTTGATTCATTTCATATCTAGTAAAGATCTATATTCAAGCCTTTAAACATCATCAAAACTCTCAAAACATCAAGAGTGTACGGTCGTACACTCCATCTATGGCCTACACACCCTTGTTAAGCCATAATCTAGGCTTAAACACTTGCTAGGTGTAGCTATCCATTAGAACTCTTGAAACCTTGAACCCCGTTTGATCAAGGCCCAAAAATGCATCTATCTTGAGAGTGTACGGCCGTACACACTTGGTGTGGCCGTACACACTCAAAACCTCCAAAATGATAGTTTTGCTCATCCTTGTTGTGCATGGTCACACTAGCTTCCCCATAGATCAAACACCCTTTCTTATGCGTGTTTTCCATGATGTACGGCCGTACACGCCTGGCCGTACACCTCTTGGCCGTACACTCCATGTTGTAGCCTTAAAACCCCTTTGATGAATCACATTGATTGTAACACTTAGTCCAAGTGTTTCCTAGTCTCGAAGGGTGTTTCCTTGAATGTTAGTTGTGTAAAACACTAATTTCATGCCTATGTATGCCATTATATATCATATAGGACTTGTTTGTGTCTCGGGAATTCATTCGTGGAACTTCTTATCCTTACGCGAATCTGCAATTGAATCACCCACATAAGGTGAGTTCATACCCCTATAATCAATCTTTTAAATGTTTTATGCTTTTAGGGGGGAATACAAGTGAAAACAATGATAATTGTGTAAATGTTATTTGTGATAACTATCCATATTCAAAGGATTTCTTATGCTTTATAAGTGATCAAAACCATTTCAAAAACTCTTTTAAGTTATGTTACTTTATGTTTATAAAACACTTTTTAAAGTACAATCATAACTCAGTAGATAATGAGTCTTTTATTGAAGTCAGTATCAGTTCAAGTAATCATACTAGTAAACTATAATAGGTATAGTTTAGGGGTTCAGTACATACTATAAAGAAAACGGGAGGAACATGTTATACACTAGAACAGAAGGAACATACTATAACGAGAACAAGATAACATTAAATGTGAGACTACTTCACGGCTTAGCAATTTGATTGTTAAGTCGCGTTTTGTAAAATCCCGCCCTCCTGGAGGGAGAGCGTTACTAGTATGGTTACAACCACATCACATTTTTGACCTTAATAATACGAATTGGTTTTAAGGTAGTCGGTACTTCAGTAGTCACTTTAAAATACTACTGTATACTTTCATTATTACAGAAGACAAACATACAGTCGAGTCTTAGTACATTCACTTAGAAGGGGCCTATAATGCTAACTTTTGATTCCTTAGTTTTGTACATCAGGGATATATATAATCGGATCCGACAGGTAGTGGATGTTGTTTTTTCCCGCTTCATTTCTTGTTCCCTGTTTGGTTGTGGGCTTAGAGTAGATTCACCCAGTCTACTATCTATCCGATCTTAGCTATATATATTCTGTATACACTAAGTAATCATAAGGAGTACCAGGTATGGTGGTTACCATTTTTACTAAAGGAAATAAGGGTTTTTCTTAAAGAATGTTTTCATCAAATATAAAGGAACTATTACAGTTAACTCTGTGAGTACCAAGTGAATACGTCAGGGTTATATACAACGATGATCTAACAAACAATGGATGTGTGCCTTCCTCCTCATTCCTGTTCCTTGTTTGGTTGTGGGCTTAGGCAGATACACATAATCGATTGTTTGTTTTACTCTGGTTTTATTAATTGTATTCGTTTAGTACTCATACAAAGGATTGTAGAGTCATTTTACTTATCTTTCATCAGATCAGGAAATATAGGATTTTCTGGAGGAACAGGCGAAATTTTCTAAAAAGAACTTACAACTTACTTTACATCACTAAATCTTATGAACTCACCAGCTAAGTTGATCTACTCTTTCAAAATAACTTGTATTCTCAGGAAACTAGTAGACAGGTACGCGCACTGGGATTCAGAAGATGAAGTATAGTAGCTTCATGTCTTGTTTTGTTATTTACTTTTGGATTCAATCTTTTGTGAATCACTACTTTGTAAACACTTAAATATGAATACAATGGTTGTTTGTTACTATGATTACTATGATACATGTGTTGTGATACTAAACATGACGTCCTCCGCCCCCGAACGTTTCCGTCGTTCCGGTTTGGGGGTGTGACACCAGTAGAGATAGCTTTTGGAGCAATGATCAATGCAGCTATTCTTTCAGATTGTGAGGTGAGTCTCCTCACCATACTTGTGGGTCGAAGACACTAATGCCGACCTATTGGATTATGTTGAAGGATAGTAGTGGTCTTTGTGACACTACTGATATGCTTTTATGTGCTTGCTGTCTTTGTGACTATTACTGGTATGATTGTATATTATATGCATAGAACCAATATGCGCTCGGAATCATTATGGACTCGGGGTTGATACGGACTCGACACAACTACATGCTGTTACATGAAGTCATTATGGACTCGGAGTTGATATGGACCCGACACAGCCACTTGCTGTTATATTTGTATATGTGTGTTGTATGTGCTACTTTGGGTAACTCACTAAGCTTTGTGCTTACAGTTTATGTTTATGGTTTCAGGTATTTCCGTTTCTAAAAGAAAGGGTCCAACTTGATCGCACTGCATCCCCTGAAATTTTATTCCGCATTGAATGTTTACAAATTACTCTGATGTATTGAGAATACTTTGACTCTGATCGTCTTTTGGAACAATGAATGAATGGTTTTAACTTATTTGATATGAAATTTTTACTCGGTATTTTTGGAACGTTAGATTATGCTAATCCATCCCCACTCTAGCACTATTGTTAAACATTTACCGATAGATAACTGATAGTTATTTTATCATTGTTGATCCATCTCTAATCTATAGCTATCATAACTTTAAATATAAAAAATAAAAATAAAATGTAATGGTCATTGATCTATCAATTACGAGTCGTTGATTTGTAAGCATCTTCCGTTAAATCCATAGTCGATACTCAATTTTCTAGTATAATTGGATTTCTTGATGACATAAATAACCACACCTTGTATTTAAGCGATTTAATCTATAAGATTATAAAGTACACTTGATAAATCACCACGTATATGAGTGTTAAATCGCCCCATTTCTATAAGATCATGCTGGATCACTATTGCATGCACATGGTCGAATTTCGTAGGTCAACATTAACATCACAACTTCTGTAGGTTGTAATTATATAGATAAAGGGGTTGAGGCTAATAGAAGTTAAAAAAAATTATCCACAATTGTGTGTTAAGCCAGTTAGCTCTGTTAGTCCAAGAGATGCCATTTATAGATTATGTACATCCAAGCCTTACCACCTTACCAATTAGAATTATTAGTAATAATTTACCTTTTATATTTCAGGCACTCTATAACAACACCACCTATATGTACATGATCTCATACCTGTTGTTATCGTTATTTCTTCCTTACAAAAAAACAAGAATAAGAGTGACTGAAATTCAAACCACCTCGTTGAAAGCAATTTTAAATTCGCAAACCAAATCGTATGATCGTTCGATTCTATGATCCTAGCATCAAAAACCGATCACCATCACAATAATTATTGAAAAAACATATAGTTACAAAGTGCGTAAATAAATACACAAATCAAATTCAATATCGTAAAATACAACAAAAAAAAAATGAACTAATCTTTCACATTTAGAAGTGTTGTTAGAATGGTGTCAGCCATTCCATCAGTGACAGAAAACAAGTGGCCACCACCTGTGATCTCATGGTAGTTGATCCATGGGAGTTTCTTAGCAATATAACGTTGTAGTTTCACAGGTACAAATCGATCTTGATCACCCATCCATAAGTGAACAGATCCTTCATTATTTGGAAATGGATTCTCGAGTTCCATTGGATCAAATTCCCATTTCCCCATTCCAACTATTAAATCACGATGGACAGACTCGAATTCTCCTTGTTTTCTTGGCTGCATCTTTAACACACAAAAGTGTAACATAAGTTGGACTGTCTGAGATGTTTCTTTTTATAACTTGATGGACTTAGTTGACCCAAACTTATCTTTGAAAAAAACTTTATATGGGTCTTTTTTTATCCACAATATAAAAAGGACAAATAGATACACCTAGTTCTAAACATGACTATTGGTCTAGTTAATTTCCACTCTAGAGGCGTTATCTCGAAGTGTTTTTACTTTTTTTCCAAAAATAAAAGGGCTTTTACTTTCTTTCAAAAAATAAAAGGGCTAAATACAAGAAAAAAAAAAGTACTTTTATTGATTTCTTGAATATGGCATCATGGTTTCGTTCTTTATATCATAGTGACAGGTGAATTTTATCGAATACTCTATTCATCTAGTTAACTATTATATATTCGTATAGTTTTTATTCGTAAATTATGCATATTTCTATGTTTTACTTGTTGTGTACACTTGCGGTTTTGTTTTTGAGATATATTGCAACTCAAGTCAAAAAAGGAACAAGTCGATCATTGTAAAGTCTAAGTGGTCGACGAATGTCAAAAATCAAATTAGTCAATAGATATGGTTGAATAAAGTGAATGTTAACAGCTAAAAAATGCAACATTATATTCTGAAAAATCTATAAATCATATCAATTTCATCTAAATACAGGAATCTTTCACTACTATAATTTGGGTATGTTCTTTCAATGTATAATGTCCTAACAAGAAAAAGAAAGAAAGTATAATGCTATAATTAGGTAGTTTTGTAACTACATATTGTCTGTTTATAATATTTTTTTTTATTAATAAAAGGGTTAATACAAGACATAGAAACAAGTCCATTAATTTTTTATTATAGCATCTTACTTTCACTTTTCTATTGCAACATTACATCTTTAATGATTCTACCTACTTACAGGAAATCATCCAAATACAAAGAAATTTTCACTCCTATAATTAATTAAGTACATTTTTCAATCTATAATGTCCAAATAAAAAATATGGAGATAGAAATATATAATTAGGTTGATTTTCAAAAGAGAATGCCTTAAATAGAAAAAAAAAATTTGAAATACAATATAGTAATAAAAACAAATGAAAGTAGGATGCTATAATATACCTAAAAATAAAGTATGTTGCCATTTCTTGCATCTAGTACTTCAAAAATGTAACCACAGTCATAGCTTAAAGACTATTCAAACTCATTTTTTTTCCTATGATAGTATCATTTTTTGAACAATTGTTTTTATGTTCATCCTATGAGCCCTAGTATCAAGTCTTATGCACTTGTTGACAATAATTTTAAATATATAGATAGCTTCAAAACTATTTTCATTTATCCATATAGAAGTGTTTATGCAAATGATGTTTCACATAAAAATATCTTACTTTTAGACCTTGAGAATGTGAATGATAGTTTATTGACAATTTGAATGCCAAATGAAATAAAAATGATATGAATCAAATTTACATGTTTCATTTTCAAGTAGACCACATAATTGTTAGACACAATTATAAACTCCATAAGGATGAACTATTAAGACTCATTTGATTATAGATACTATGAATCCTATTAGACATAATTGATAGACTAATAAGGGTGAACTATTAAGACTCATTTGATTATAGGCGTACGCCTCATACATATTGATGCATATGGAACATTCTTTACTCCACCCGCGTAAAGATACTTTTATTTTTTTAATAGATGGATTCAATATCTAAAATTAGAGTAAACTACACGAATGGTCCCTACGGTTTGGGGTAATTTGCACGTTTGGTCCCTAACTTACTTTTTTAACTCAAAAGGTCTCTACTGTTTGTTTTTGTTGCGCGTTTGGTCCCTGTCTTATCTAAAAAGACTATTTTGCCCTTGATTTTTTAATTTATTTAAATAAACATACCCCCAACCCCACTTCCACCTCACCTTACTCTACCTTACCTACCCCACCTTATTTAAATAAATTAAAAAATCAAGGGCAAAATAGTCTTTTTAGGTAAGACAGGGACCAAGCGTGCAACAAAAACAAACTGTAGGGACCTTCCGAGTTAAAAACAAGTTAGGGACCAAACGTGAAAATTACCCCAAACCATATGGACCATTCATGTAATTTACTCTGTAAAAAATTATATATACCTGTTAACAGTTAATATAGGCATGAAAAACTAGAAGTGTTAAAAGAGTTTAGAAGGAGGTTTACTTCGTGGGCACTAGATTAAAAGGAGGTGTAAATTCAAATTTGCTAGGACTTCAGCATTGGACATGAAACTTTACTAGAAAAAAAAAATTTATTTTCTTAGTTATGTATTTTTTGAGATGTTGAAGAGCTAGCAAATAAATCCTATCTCATATTCTGTTAGTGTGTTGATACTCATACATATATGATTAAAAATATACAGAGTATTAATTTTGAAAGAATGTACCTTTTGCTCTTGTGATTGAGGAGGAAACTTTGAAAGAATTTCCATGTCAGGGGGAGAAAACATATCAAGAGACCCAGAAATAAGAGACGAGCTAGGAAACCATTTTTTGAGTGTTCCACCAGTAGTTCAGCCATGGAAGGTGGTGAACAACACGTAAAGCCCATTGATCAGTCTTAAACATTTCATAATACACTTCATTACATAACTTTGAAGGAAATGAAGGCCACCAATAATTTACTCCAGGTGAAATGAAAACCACTCCTGCTAGCCTATTTCAATCACACATACAAAACTAACAAAATTACAACCAAATTATCTCAAGCAACAAATAATCAAAATTTTGATTTACACCTGTGAGGAATGTACTTAAGACATGGCCAAACCAACAATCCACCCATGGATAATCCAGCTAAATAGAATTTGGAACCGAGTTGTAGTTGATCAGCAAGCTCATCTATATCCAAAGCTAAACTTTTTAAAGTTCTCTCAGGGTGCGGATCACTCTCTCCGTAACCAGGTCGGTCGAATGAAACAGTGTACACCCCTAACTCTTCAATAAGAGCCTGTAAAAGTCAACCAACCGGTTAGAATTAGAAAACTAACGGGTTGGTTGATAACCTATGAATGAAACCATTCATAGGTTACAACTGAATACGTCGGTATTCAGTCTGAACGGTTAAGAAACTTCACGGTTTCTTAACCGTTCGGAGGTTGGAATCATTTAAAACTAAATGTTTTAGCTTTATGATTTTATCAAACAACCCTAAGTTTGAAGTCAACATAAAAAATGATTGGCTTAAAAACTAAAAAGCATGAGAAAATATGGATCCACACCGGAGAGGCTGCCAAGGCAAAAATATTAATTTCTTTGCAATTGTCAAAACCATGGATGTATATTATTTTAAACTTGGCTGTTTCTTTTGGGATACCGTGTTCCATATATGACAAATGCCTTCCATCACGAAGCTTTATTCTTGGTGATGTAATTGGAGGACCATCTTGAGAACCGCATGTTTTTGGAGGGGGTGGACGGAATGACTGAAATGCCCTTGCCAAGAACCCCATAAAGAGGACAGAGTTGTAAATTCTTGTAAATCCCTAGAGTGATATTTAATCAAGAAGATGTAAAATTAATTAAAAGAGTGTTAAGAACATGTAGTTCAAGTTTGAAATTACAATGTATATGTTCACTTTTTAAGCTGACTTTACATTGATTTTGAAGCTCGTAAATATAATCTTGATATTGAGTGAATGCATAGAGATCAAAATCTTTACTTGATCATTAGAAATTTTAAAACATTTATCAAGACGATTAAAATCACATCAATATCAATGAATAAAATATATAGTGATCATATAATATTGAATACTCTAACTTTCATTTATTTTCAGAACTATATGTTGATAATTATATCACCTTTTATGCTTTATTAGTTTAGAAAAATAAAAATAAATAAATAAAAAAAAGAAACCAAGGTAGTTATTGTCCTATTTTAGACCTATGTTTTCAAATATAGCATCCTAAAATATTTTTATTTATAATGTTAGCGTCAACTAATATTTCAATTTTAAAAAAAGTAACTTAGCGCTTAAATTAGAATATGACCAAAGGATATGCCATTTATGGGTTTACACCCGGACACAGTGGAATAATTTAGGAGTAGTTTAGCATGCGGTTTAAAAAAAATTAGAAAATGAAGCATTATAAAAACATTCGAAAAGATGAGCGTCAATTATTTAATTTTTCAAAAGCATTTGTGGATATATTATTTTAATTGAAGACGAGTTGTAAAGATATGCCTTTTATGGGTTTACAGTTATCATCGCCTAAGCTATAATATTGGTTCTTTAACATGAAGCAGCAGCAAAATACTTCTCACTTCGTGATTCAAATCCCAAACCGCTGTTCTAATCTCATCAATCGTGAATAGTAAACCAAATACTATATTCGTTTCATCTCTATTTGTTATAATTTATATAATATGCATACTTAATTAAAGAGCATAGTAAATTTCCTTTTTTTATGTTCACGACTATCTGTATTTTAAACTCCAATTCAATGTCTAATGACTGGAATCCTAACAAAATCAGTTTAAATATATTTTTTTTTTTTTAAAATGGGTTCACATCCACCATTTTGAAATCAGGGAAAAGAATTGCAATGACACAAACAATTCATTTGACTAGAAATTACTCCTAAACAAATAACACGAAGCATCAAATATTTACATCTGCGAGTCTTTGAATTATGAAGAAAATATATATATCCGAAGATGAGTAAAAGAGTGGAAGAAAACGATTCACAGACCTTTTTTGAAGAACAGAAGAAGAACTGGGTTTGGATTTTCTTGCAGCTGAAATCTTCCTGCAAACACTAGCTGCCATTATTGTTGGTTCGACTTAAAAGGGTAAAGAAGATCTATGCTAAATCAACTTGTGTAGGGTCTTTTGTGATAACCTGTACTCCTTTAGTGCTTTTGTCTTTTGACTTGTAGTCCTTTTCCACAGACGTCTTCACTCACAACACACGGAGGGATGAAAGGAGTTTTTGACATGTAGTTTCAAAAGTATTTTACTAAATAAGTGTTGGTTTTAAAATTTTATATTTTTTTAAAACTTTTTGTTTTTATATTGTTTTCACTTATTCTTTTTTAATATTCTTTTTGATATTTTTGTAACTTTTCCCCTGCTATTTTATATGGTTTTGAGTAAATTACACGAATGGTCACTATGGTTTAAGGTAATTTGCACGTTTGGTTCTTAACTTAATTTTTTAACTCGGAAAGTCTCTACTGTTTGTTTTTGTTGCGCGTTTGGTCCTTGTCTTACCTAAAAAGACTATTTTGCCCTTAATTTCTTAATTTATTTAAATAAACACACACCTAACCTCACCTCACCTTATCTTACCTAAAAAGGACTATTTTAATTTATTTAAATAATGGCATAATGGTCCTTTTAAGTAAAACAGGGACCAAGCGCGTAACAAAAACAAACAGTAGAAACCTTCCGAGTTAAAAAAAATAAGTTAGGAACCAAACTTTTAAATTACCCCAAACCATAATGACCATTCGTATAATTTACTCTTTATTTAAAATAGTCTTTTTAGTAAGATAAGGGTATAATTACTCTTTATTTAAAATAGTCTTTAGAGTAAATTACAGATTTGGTCTCTGTGGTTTGGTTGAATTCTCAGTTTTGGTCCTTAAGTTTAAAAATTGATAGGTTATATCCCTGTGGTTTGTAAAAATTGCACTGTTGGTCCTTGGTCCATATAAAAAAACCAAATTACCCTTTCTTTCTTTTATCTTTTTCTTTTAACAATTTATTATATATATATATATATATATATATATATATATATATATATATAAGTGTTTTTTATCTTTATTTTAATAAAATTAATATAGATTATTTATAAAATTGTTTTTATTTTTTAAATCAATTATCTAAATTATATAAAATCATATTATTATTATTATTTATTTATTGCTTTATTTATTTATCTTTGTTTTTGTGGTTTAAATTTTTTTTTAATATTTTCGACGTTTTAGTTAAATATATTTTTTAATGTTTTTTTATTTGACGTTTTGTTCGTCGAATATAATTATTTAATGTTGTTTTTTATGTGTTTTTTTATTACATCATTCAGTTATATGTATGGTTGTAAACTAACTGAATGTTCAGATAACCGTTCGTAAACTGTTCGACGAGAAATTCGTTTATGTTTGTTTATTTAATAAATGAACGAACATGAACAAAAATTATCGTTCGTTTAGTTAAACGAACGAACATGAAAAGTGATCTCATTCGTTCATATGTGTTCATCAACGTTCGTTTATGATCTTCGTTTACGTTCATTTATGTTCGTTCGTTTAATTTATTTATATTCATTTATGTTCAATTTTTTTTATTATGTTACCATATTATATGTTTGTTGATGTTCATATATGTTCAATTGTGTTTTTTATCTTTGTTTGTTTATGTTCGTTTAATATAATACCGTAATATAATTAAAAAAATTAAACATAAATGAATATGAACAAAAACGAAGATATAATATCGACATAAACGAACAAAGATAAACAAACATAATTGAACATATATGAATATAAATGAACATATAATATGGTAATATAATAAAAAAAAATTGAACATAAATGAATATAAATAAATTAAACGAACGAACGCAAACGAACATCATAAACAAACGTTCACGAACATAAATAAACGAACGAGACAATTGTTCATGATCTTTATTTTAACTAAACGAACGATAGTTTTTGTTCATGTTCGTTCATTTATTAAATAAACACACATAAACGAACTTCCGCCGAACAGTTTACCAACGGTTCACCGAATGTTCAGTTCGTTTACAGCCATATATATAAGTCAATGATGTAAAAAAAATTATTATATTGGACGAACAAAGCGTAAAAAACATTTAAAAATATATTTAAATAAAACGTCAAAAATATGAAAAGATTTTTAAACCATATAAACAAAGATAAGTAAATAAAGCAATAAATAAATAAATCATAATAATAATAATAATAATAATAATAATAATATGGTTTTATATAATTTAGGTAACTGATTTAAAAAATAAAAATAATTTTATAAATAATCAATTATAATTTCATTAAAATAAAGATAAAAAAACAAGAATATATATATATATATATATATATATATATATATATATATATATATATATATATAATTGTTAAAAGAAAAAGAAAGAAAGAAAGGGTAATTTGGTCTTTTTATATGGACCAAGGACAAACAATGCAATTTTCACAAACCACAATGATGTAACCTATCAAATTTTAAACTTAGGGACCAAAACTGAGAATTCGACCAAACCACAAGGACCATTTCTATAATTTACTCTAAACTAAAAAATTAAGGGCAAAATAGTCTTTTTAGGTAAGACAGAGACCAAACAAGCAACAAAAACAAACAGTAGGGACCTTCCGAGATAAAAATAATTCAGGGACCAAACGTGCAAATTACCCTAAACCATAGGGACCATTCGTGTAAGACTAAACTACAAAATTGGTCTTCGTGGTTTTGCAAAAAATGTGGATAAGGTCCAAAAAGTTTCCGACTTGTATGGAAGGTCCAAAATCAAAAAGTTTCCGTGGATTTGGTAAAAGTTTCCGTGGATTTGGTCTATGATGGATTTGAAAAGACTACTTTACCCTTATCATTCATTTTTACATTTTTTTTTATTTATTTTAATATTTAATTAATTATAAAAAAATAGAAAATGAAATTTCACCCGCCCCTCTCCACAGTACCCCACCTTCTCCCTCCCTCTCTTTTTGACTCCTTTTCCCATCTTCTTCTTCATCACTCTTCTGCAAATTAAAACTCATTCACATATATGAACAAAAAACCCAGTTGAACAGAAAACCTGGAATGAGATGGGTTTTTAATCTGAAGAAGGAGATGTTTTTCACATTTAGTCTTCATCCTTCAAATATGAGTTTCAAAGATATTAGATGTTGCCTCCAATAATTAGTAATAGATTTTCTGGGTTGTTCATCCATTTTTCAAGTTTGTGTTGAACAAACTGGAGCCCTAATAACATGTCAAGGATGAACAAAGGGATTTGAATCAAATGCATCGATCCTCATATTGCAAAAATTGTATCGCATCGGGAATAACCGAGGTTCGAGAACCCTTCTGTAGCCGTCCTTCCTCGGTATCGATCCAATATAAGAGGATGGGCATAGACTTGTTTCGGTATCTCATCTCACACAACTGGGGAGAGTATTCTTCTTGGATAGATTCCTCCGTCACACCATTTGCAGTTAGGTATTGAGATGATAGAGGGTTAAGATGGTGATATGGGGATATCAGTGAGTAGTGATGAAGATGGTTGATGTGTAGATCTAGTAGCTTAGGTCTAGTGTAAACTCGATGGTGATGTAGGGAAGATGGAACCCAATTACAAAGCACCAATCTTGATTTTAATCAATTATCCCCTTCTCTTTAATCATTTATGTTTAGATGGATTTGTTGGAATGAAGGTAAAGGGATAAAGGATTTGATGTGTTAGGTCATAGTAATCATAGAAGGTGTGAGGTTTCTTTGATTTGAGGAACATAGGATGAATTTGGGATGAAAGCAAGAACACGATGAGAGAGAAAGAGAGAGAGAGAGAGAGGAGAGAGAGAGAGAGAGAGAGAGAGAAAGAAAGAAAGAAAGAAAGAAAGAGAGGGGTCCGATGGATGAAGGGGTAGGTGGGGTGTCTAATGCTTTTTTTTATTATTATTAAATTTCAAACTAAAAAGAATAAAAAAGAATAAAAAATGGGAAAAAAAGAAATTAAAAGGGTAAAACAATCTTTTCAACTATTTTAGGGACCAAAATCACAAAATGTTTTTGATTTTGGACCAACGGTGCAAGTTGAAAAGATTTTGGACTCCATCCATATTTTTTTGCTAACCATAAGGACCAAATTTGCAGTTTAGTCATTCGTGTAATTTACTCAACTATTTTTTTTTCTACAAACATCACTCCTAATAATAATGTAATAACGTAAAACAAATATTATGACATCACACTTAACTTTTTGGTTTTCCATATTACCATATTCTTCTATGAATCTTATATAACCTAACAATCTTGAATTAAAACATAGGTACAATCAGGGGCAGATGCTCGTATATGTAACAGTAGTGGCACCAATTTTTTTCCCGATCAAATTTAATAACATAGACCTAACAGCCGAGTTGATTCGGTTCCGATCGGGTTGAGGTAAGATTAAAATTTGGTGCATCATATTTCTTTGTTGTTGGGCCCAAAGTTATTAAGATCGAGATTTTACTTAGGATCTTTTTTATCTTTCTAAAATCACAATCATAAAATCGAACCGAGATCACAAGATCCTACCTAATAAACATTTTTTTCTCACAGTAGGCATAGTTATCTATCTCAAAGAATTTATCATCTTTAAAAAAATTCCAAAACAAAACGTGATGTGAAGACAAATATATTTTAAAACTTAAGAGACAAAATATAACTATTTTAAAAATTATTAAAAGTAATTTCTAATATTAATGGATATAAAAACTTAAAAGTTTTACCGTGTGAACTTGAAAACACAAATGATCAATAAAAGCCCAAAGACCATCTTATGTTTTTAACCAAGATGTATACGTTCTTTTCTCCTTATTATCCTCACTAGGTTACAACTCGTGGAAACCACGAGAAAAATATTTATAAAATAAATAATTTATTAATAACATTTATGATTTTACAAAGACTTTTTTTATTGATTCTTTAAAATGAATATTAATATTTGTTTGAATATCAAAAATACGTTAAGTTTTGATTGAAATCTATCAAAATCCGTTGAATATACGCTCGCTCGGATTTTTGTACCCTATTCAGTTAAAAAAATTAAATTTAATAAAAAATTAAATTAGAATTCAAAATATAACTTATTAAAACAATATTATAAAAGTGGATTTTACCATCTCATCTATCTATCAAGATCATATCTAGTGATTTTACTATATTTGGGTTTGTATCCGAGAATGATTGCCACAAAAGGATAATACTGACTTTTAATGTGTCATCATCTTTCATATTATCCAATTCATTTATGAAATTGATGTTCTAGGCATACATTGTCACTGTAAAAAAAAAACAAAAAAAAAAAAAACAAAACACAGATACATTAACGTGGATTCTACTTTATGTTTATTTGGAAAATGTTTTGCAAGACAACAAAATATTCTCAAACAAAACACAGAAATGTAGCTTAAGTAAATTTTTTGTTCTTGATTGAGAAATAGAGCAAAAGGGATAACATAGAAAGGTTTTAAGTAAGAAGTAAATAGAGTTGGCAGACATATTCGGCCGATGACAATGTTGGAGAACCTTTGCTCTTGTTTTCAGCAAAGGAAGAATGACAAATGTTCGTGTAAATTGATAGTTAAAACATTTTTAATCTTATATAGAAGTTAATTAAGATGAAAAGTGGGAAGTAAATCAACTCAAATGTAATTTAAATTAAAAAAATAAGATATCAGATGTTATCACTTCCTGATTTTCAGGGAGTTGATTCAAGTGAGTAAATTGTTTTGTAACCTCGAAATTTTATACAAATTTTAGGAAAATGAATTTGTTTATTTAATGAATAGGGACCATTTATGAAACTTATTAAAAGAAATAGGGAGCATATATGTAAATTTAAGAAATAACAGGTAAAAGTAAATGATAATGAGTAATAAAGTTCCTTATTTACAGGATTATCACTTCCTTATTTTAAAGGATTTTAAGGGGGTTGATTATTATAGAGAGACTTTATTAGAGTGAATATGGTAAGTTTTTTAAAATCATATAAAATAGGATATTAGTCACAATGTCACATGAGCAGCACATGTAAATTTAATCGGCATATTATATGAAGGAGGGGCAAATTAGGAATTTAACATTGAAGGATGATTGTTGTTGAAAGCTACACGAGGAAGTTAGGATTGTTTTATTAGAATGGTAGATTTAACAATTATTACCCTTATTTAACAATCAGACGCCGCAACTCTATCATCTATTCTTAGATTCCCTTCATCAACCCACATACTCACATATTATCAATTATACCAAAAAAAGAGTAAATTACACGAATGATCCTTATGGTTTAGGATAATTTGCGTGTTTGGTCCCTAATTTATTTTTTTAACTCGAAAGGTCCCTACAGTTTGTTTTTGTTATGCATTTCATCCATGTCTTACCTAAAAATATTATTTTGCCCTTGATTTTTTTAATTTATTTAAATAAACACACCTCCAACCCCACTCATCACCTTACCTTAAATACCTCATCATTTTTCCCTATTTAAATAATATGTTTTTTAGTTAAGACAGGGACCAAATGCGTAACAAAAACAAACAGTATGGACCAAGTGCGTAACAAAAACAAACAGTAGGGACCAAGCGCGTAACAAAAACAAACAATAGGGACCTTCCGAGTTAAAAAAATAAGTTATGGACCAAACGCACAAATTACCCTAAACCATAGGGACCATTCGTGTAATTTATTCTTGTTTCAAAAAGAGGTTTAGAAGTCGACAAAGCAAAAATAGATGTTATAAAAAGCTTACCCTACCCGAGGAGTGTTTGGGAAGTGCGTTCTTTTCTTGGTCATGCAGGTTTTTACAGGAGGTTTATAAAAGACTTTTCGAATATATCAGTTCCCATGTGCCAGTTACTGCAAAAAGATGCAGACTTCGACTTCAATGAAGATTGCAAGAAAGCTTTCGATGTGCTAAAAAATCTTCTTACTTCTGCCCCCATTATTCACCCATCAGATTGGAGTTTACCATTCGAGATAATGTGTGATGCAAGTAATACCGTTGTTGGAGCTGTTTTAGGACAGAGAAAAGACTGGGTTCCTCATGTTATATATTATGCATCAAAAACTTTGGACAATGCCCAAGCAAATTATTCCACAACGGAGAAATAGCTGTTGTCAATTGTTTTTGCCTTGGAAAAATTCAAACAATATTTATTGGGGACGAAAGTTAATCTTTTCTGATCACGCAGCCATTCGGTACCTTCTTGCCAAAAAAGACTCAAAGCCAGGGTTGATCAGATGGATTTTTCTGCTACAGGAATTTGATATATAGATCGAGGACAAAAGCGGGAAAGAAAATTTGGTAGCTGATCATCTGAGCCGACTCGCCTTGCCTGAAGACCCGACACCGATTCACGAAATCTTCCCTGGCGAGCATCTGTTTGCTGTTCAGAATCCTCCATGGTTTGCTGATATAGTGAACTACTTGTTTGGTGATTTTAGTGTCACCATGTCATTTTAAGTAACTGGAACTAACATGTGATCTAAGGGGCTTCATAGTTTGTACTCTAATATATGTACGGGGGTTGTGCGTGCACACATGTATAAGATCGAATTAGAAGCCGGTTCGACGACTAGTCGGGGGTCCGGGGGCAGCGCCCCCGGGTCCGGGGTTTCCAAAGGGGCAGTGCCCTTAGCGGGGTCCAAGGGGCAGAGCCCCTGGCTGGGGTGTTTATGGTAAATTCAATTTCTTGAGGGTGTTTATGGTAAAACTAACGAAACTCGTTAGTTTTGGTAACCCTAAATCCTCACTAAATCCTAATTAACATTACTTGCTTCCAAAGCAACTAATGACGGCCCAACCTAATAAAACCCTAATATCGTTTATTATATAAACGACTCTTCTTTTCAGAAGAGGGTCACGATCTTAAGCTCTCGTTTCATCATACTTTCATAGAATCCTCTAGCATATTGGCTTACGATTTATGTGCCTAGAATCGTAAGTGTCCACTTGGATTATCCTAGGCTGAATTTCTTGTAACCCAGGCATAGGGTAGAAATATCAGTTCGG